TTGGGCTCACCTCTCTGCCTTCCCTTAGGCTGGTTTTGTCTCTTCAAGCGTTGGAACTAATTCATAAAATCCTCCTCCTGCTTAGTTACTGCTAAGCCCTGAGAGCCTCTACGGATGGAGTCCATGACTTGGGCCCACCAATCAGGGGGTCTTGACTCTTCTGTTCACATCCTCCCTCCAAATCGCAGTCCTGATAAAGTGGGAGAAGGTGGGGATGTGCCCCACACCCAAGGCGCTGGCCACGGCCTGCTCACAGCTCCACTCTCCCACTGCCAAGGCTGTTATACCCCATGTGAGCTGGTTCCTTGGGCTAGATGTCCTCTGGTACCGCCTCCATAGGGATTTCCCTAACCACTGGGTTCTGTCCCCCTGTGCCTCCCTTATCCCAGGGACAAAGCAGACTGTTGATCACAGTCCAGGCTAGGGCATGCTCTGGGCTTTTATGAAGAACAGCCACTGACTTTACCGGCTACTTTCCCTCCTAGGTCCAGGACTCCAATATTATAGGGTGAAGGGCTACCTCTCCTGTACACCTAACCCGTGTAGTTTTGACTCCCTCTGGCTCCGGGATGATTTTGTGAGCCACGACCAACTCAAAGAAAATCCTATTTCCTTACCACATTGACTGGCTCAGGCAGGGTCACGTGATCCTGTGTGGCAATGAAAACTCTCCCTGGGACTTTAGAGGAAACTGCAGGGGGGGAAGAGGCATTTTCTTCCTGTTGGCTGAGGTAACCAAGGGCATGTCTGGAGATGCTGGTGGCAATCATGGTGAGAACCTTTATCGGGAGGAAGCTTACACAGAAGCAGAGCCGAGCAATTATGCAAGATGCCTGTCTGGGCCTTGGGCATCACAAAATCTGCCCTGTGATCTCCAGCTACCAAGTTCAGAAATATCAAGTCACAGCAGGAGTGAGTGCTGAGAGCAACAGCAGTCTCTTGGAGCGTTGACCTCTGGACTCACAGTCAGGCAGAGTGGAGCACTGCATTACACGCATGTGTGCACGCTCACAAACACAGAGAGAGAGAGAGAGAGAGAGAGAGAGAGAGAGAGAGAGAGAGAGAGAGAGAGAGAGAGAGAGAGAGAGCTCTGCCTCCCAGCATGCTTGACCTTGAGTAGACCACATCCGAATGGAATCCCTCCTCCTTTAAAACAGGGTGAAGAGTGCTGGGGGATGGCTCCACAGGCTAAGGCGCTTGCGGCCAAGCCTGACAACCTGAGTTCAGTCCCCAGAATTCATAGCATAGAAGGAGAGGAACGACTCCTGCAAGTTAGCCACGGCCCTCCACATGTGTTCCACGGTATACATGCACATGCAAACATGAATGCGCACACAAGATAAATAAAGTAATAAAACAGGATTACTACCTTCAGGGGAGGGAGGAGGCCCTGTGCCTTCCTTATTGGACTGTGCTATTCCCTCTTCTCCACCCTGTGAGCTTCAAACTCACCTTGGTACTCCCTCCAAGCAATCTTCCTCTCTCCCTCTGTCCCCTGCCCCCACAGTGATAAAATAAATTCTTCTCCACTTATAATGATATCCTAAAAAAAAACTATGGTATGTTGAAGAGGTTTGGGTCCAGCAAGATAATAGCTCAGCAAATAAAGACGCTTGCCACCAAACCTGATGACCAGAGTTTGATCCTGAATCCCACAGGCTGTTCTCTGACTTCCACACACAGAGACATGCACTAAACAAACAAATGCATTTTATAAAGACTTCTAAAGAAAATAGCAAAGGTCAAGAGTGCATTAATGCGCTCTGCTTCCTATGTGGGTGAAAACGTAAAAAATAAAGATAAAAGGCTGTACCAGTGCACTTAACCTAGTTGGTTTCAGAGCTCAGAATCACTTCAGCTACAGAGTGCGAGGCTTTATTTACTGTGACCATTCAGAAACTGGCTGCTGCTGCAGGTCACTGCTGCTGCCCGGTATCGTCAGGGAGTTTCATACTGCATAGCATCAGCCTGGGAAGATCACCCCATGTGTGGTTCCTACTCGGCAGGTGATGCTCTTACAGTATCATAGAATTTAAAAAGGCAAGGGAGTGTTGTGTACCCCTGAGGCTTTGTGGTAAAGTTGTTGCTCTCTTGTACACAAAGCACAGGAAGCATAAACGCTTGACGAATTTACCCAGCGCCGCCCTCCATCCTTACAAACGTCCATCTCGCTTCATTTTCCTCTCTTCCCCTGTGTCGGTTACTTTCCTTACTTCTGTGACAAGCTATCTGACATAAAGCAACTTACAGAAAGAAGGCTCCCTTTTGGCTGATGGTTTGAGAGTGAGGTCCATCGTGGCAGGGAGTCACGTGACAAAAATGTGAGGCAACTGGTCACGTTGAACTCACTATCGGGAAGCAGCGAGAGATGTGCCTTGCTGGCTGCCTCCTTTTCGCCTTTAGAAGGTGTCTGCTTATCTTATATGGATGAGTGCAAACACTCATACAGTGTGTACCTGGGGCCCACAGAGGCCAAAAGAAAGCATCAGATCACCTGGGCCTGGAGTTACAGTTGTGAGCTGCTGTGTGGCTTCTAGGAACTGAACCAGGATCCTCTGGAAGAGCAGCCGGTGCTCTTAACCACTGAGCCATCTCTCTAGTGCCCTCCCTCCTTGTTTTATTCAGTTTCACGTCCCAACCCATGGGATGGAGCTTCCTTCCTCATCTGAACCTCTCTGCAAACTCCCTCAGACACATCCCTAACAATACATGCATATGCCTCCTAGGTAACTAACTCCCTCCTGTCAGGTTGGCATCAAGATTACCCACCATGCCCCTCACACACAGGATTACCCATCATGCCCCTCACACACAGGATTACCCATCATGCCCCTCACACACAGGATTACCCATCATGCCCCTCACACACAGGATTACCCATCATGCCCCTCACATACAGGATTACCCACCATGCCCCTCACACACAGGACTGTGAACTCGAGGCTGGATAAACGGTTCAGCAGTTAGTAGTTCTTGATGCTCTTGCAGAGAACACAAGTTCAGCTACCAGCACTTAGGTCAGGCGGCTCACAAGTCACCTGTAACTCCGCTCCAGGAGATCCAGAAGTATCTTCTGGCCTCCATGGTAACCACACTGTATACATACTTACCCACACCAACACATAAATAAAAACAAGCCTCTTTAAAGGATTATGAAGTGCCTTAGGTAGGGTTTCATTGCTGTGAATAGACACCATGACCACGGCCACTCTTAAGGAATACATTTTATTCACAGGACTCACAGTTTCTGAGGTCCAGTCCATTATCATCATGGTGGGGAGCATGGCGGCGTGCAGGCAGACGTGGTGCTGGAGGAGGAGCTGAGAGCCCTACACCTTGCAGGCCACAGGAAGTCAACTAACTCACTGAGTGGAAACCTCAAAGCCCACCCCCACAGTGACACACTTCCTCCAACAAGGCCACACCCACTCCAACAAAGCCACACCTCCTAACAGTGTCACTCCCTATGAGAGTATGCGGCCAATTACACTCAAACGACCACACGAAGTCTCCCATTTTGTTCATCTTGGCGTCCTGATCCACTCAGTCACCAATCTTTAAAAACACAGTGAAGTGTCCACATACATTCTGAATCCCAGGGATGCCCCAAAATACATCACTCTGTTGGTCCTACCCCCTCTGTCAAGATGCTTATGCGTGCCTGTGGATCCTGGCAGAGCCTGTCTGGCTGAATTCTAATCTCCCCAGATCCCAGCAGTGTGTGAAAGAGACCGTGCTGTGGCAACTGGGCTTCCACAGAGGAGAATGTGGCCCCGTGAAGGACTAGCTTCTGTCTGCAGCTTTAGAAGTAGCTGCCACACATATCATTAAGTGATCCAAGCAGAGACAAAACCTGTCATAAATGAAAGAGAAGCCAGTCACATTTGTTTCCATCTGCATAAAACCCATGGGAAGACACGGAAGAAGCTGACAGAAGGATTGTTTGGGGTGAGAACAGAGTTGATGGCAGCAGGTGCAGGGGTCAGATTTTTATTCTATACTATTCTGTATTGTTTTGATTGTTTTGATTGACCCTGAAAAGTGTTATTATTTACTTACAATCAGCAAAATCAAATGCTTAAATAACTGAAGAGGAAACCCCACTGCTCTCCTGCAGTGGCCACACAAAGATATAGATCCTGAGTTGCTGGGATTTGCAATTACGGAGAAGCCAGGATATGAGGATTTAATGTGGAGTACTGAACTAGTTTCGTGCCCTTAGAACACACACAGCATAAGGCCACGCGGCATCTAATGCATGTAGAGTTCCGGCAGTCACATGGTCAGGGTGTCTTTCCACAGCCATCCTCCTCCCCAGCCCTTGGCCAAACTGCTTCCTTGTCTCTGTAAGTGTGACTCTAACCACTTCCTACCCAGGGCTTATGTCACCAAGCATGTTGTTCTCAAGTTTTGTCCGTGTGGCAGATTAAGTCTTTTTTTTTAAAGACTGAATAGTACTTTACGCATCTGTCAGTAGGCACTTGAAAGAATCCCACGTTTGAACTATCATTTAATAAAGCTATCATGAACATTGTACAAGCGTCTCTTTCATGTCTCTGTTTTTAATTTTGGGGGACATATGCCCCCAAAAGTAGAATTGCTCCATCATGTGGTGATTCTTTTGTTAATGTTTTTAGGGAGGCTCCACCCTGTGTTCACAACTAGATGTTGGTGACCATTGAATTACACCAGCACTAAACAAGCAGTAAGCGTTTTCAAGTGATGCCGCTGAAGATGGAGGCTGGGCTACAGCCATGGCGTGTTAGAGTTTTTCAGTGTTTTTCTTAGTGTTACATAAAGTAATGCTTTGCTATTAGTCTCATAGTAGATATGATCAAATAAGACCATAAGACAATATAAAGAAGTGTTTTTAAATCCTGGCAGGCCAAGAGAGATACCTGAAGGCCAGACAGGCTCACAGGCAAATAGTTGCTGGCCCAACCTGGGCCCAGATCTTTCTGTTAATACTTCCCCCACTGTTATAATGAAATGCCTGAAGCTAGGCATTTATAAAGAGACTTTATTGAGTTCCAAGTTTGGAGGTGGAAAATCCAAAATTGGGCAGCTTCGTGAGTTCAGCCTCCCGTGAGGGCCTTCCTGGCCAAGCAAGCATCATAGCTGTAGGAACACATGCATAGCAGAGTCACGTGGTTAAGACAAGAAGCCAGAGTGAGGGAAGGAGTCAGTAATGCAATCCACTTGACCACGCCCCCTGAAGATTCCAGCTCCTCCCAGCATCATCACCGAGGTCCTAGTGAACAAGATCCTGGGGGGGAGGGGTGGATGGGTTGCATTGACTCCGTCACGGCATTCACTGCTGCTGAACACTCAGTGTGGCCCAGACCTCAGCCTCTCTGTCCTCTTACTGCAAATTAACTCACCATGAAGAAAACCAAAGCGACTTGGTCACCAGAGCCAATCCCGAGGCTGGCAAAAGTAGATGCTAATAATGATGCACTAAGTGGATACGAGACCAGTAGAGGGAACGAATGATTTAAACACGAAGTAGGGTCTGTGGCGGCCTCCTGGCTCACTTGGTCTCCAGCTCAGAACCAGGACAGGATCATCTCTGGGGGCCGCCTGAGACAAGATCCTTCTGCCAAGAGTTTTTCAAGAAACTGGGCGTCCAGAATTCATAGGCTAAAAGGAGGAGGGGTCTTAGTCAGAGTTTCTATTGCTGAGAAGAGACACCATGACCACAGCAACTCTTATAAGGAAAACATGTAATTGGGGTGGCTTACGGTTTCAGAGGTTCAGTCCATTACCGTCATGGCAGGGAGCATGATGGCGTGCAGGCAGACATGGTGCTGGCTACATCTTAATAAGAAGGCAACAGGAAGTGAACTGTGACACTAGACAGTATTCTGACCATAGGAAACCTCAAATCCCACCCCCACAGTGACACACTTCCTCCAACAAGGCCATGCCCACTCCAACAAATCCACATCTCCTAATGGGACCACTCCCTGTGAGCTTATAGGGGCCAATTATATTCAGATCACCACAGAGGGCTTTCCGGAAATCAGTGGCTGATGTCAGAACAGGAAGGGCTTGTTCTCAGATCAAAACCCTTGGGTCTGCCCCAGGGAAGGCAGAAGACAATCCCAGTCCCCAGGAGATCCTGACCTTTTGGGTAGAGAAACCTGTGTTTCCAGGGCAACCACCACCTCCTAAACAGAGTCTCTGATTGTCCAAGAAGCGTAGCTTAAAATATTCTCGTGTTTAATGTCCTAACAAACCCTGTTCTGGGCTTCCGGCCAGATGCTTTTTACATGTGCTCTCACACAAGTCTCCTGGCCAGAATCCGCTCTGCAGTTCAGGTAAACACGCTGCTGCCAGCCAGTGCTCAGCCACAGCAGAGGTCTAAGCCGCAGGTCACACAAAATCCAGACAAATCTGCCCGCCACCCCCCAATACATTTTTCTTCCATTCACCCAGAAGCTGGGGCCCTGCGAATGAATCCCAGAAACATGACCGGGATCCTGCAGTGTGTCCACTAGCAGCCCCACGACCCTGCTACACATGTGGACATATGAGCTGCATGCAGTCTTGAGCTTGGCACTGGCCCCACTCAGTAGACCAGGGCTGTGGCGAGACCCACCTCAACAGAAGCAGACTGTCAATGAAGAGTAGCAGCGGAGTTTGTGAGCCGAGGTGCAGGGGGGCTGAGGGTTTATAGAGCCCAAAATGGAACTTCTGGGGTGGAAAATTCCATCTGCAAATCTATTTTCTGCATTCCCAAGGTCGTAAATTCTGATGGAGGTTCTTATCGATGTTGATTTCCAAGCCCCTAACTACCAGCAGATGCTACCAGCCAACTTTCCTGTCTGGCTTTCTCTGCCGGCCTGGGACCCTGTGGTCATTAGTGGTTCGCAGGCAGACCAGCTGGTGCCCTTCCGCCCTTTGGAAGGGTGGCAGAGGTATCCCACTGATGAAGGACACGCTGTCTTTGATTAGATTTTCTCTCCCTGGCTTCGTTTTGGTTGCTTGTTTGTTTGTGGAAATGTCGTTTGAGCTGCCTGTCAAGAGTGACTGGGCTCGTCCCCCGGTCTAGAGAAGGCCGCTGACCCAGGTCTGGCTCAGTCTCCCCTCGTGAGGAGCCTGGCACTGTGAGCCAGTTTGGGCTGGTCAGATTGTCACTGTTTCAGTCTTGTTTTTCCCCTGTTATAGTAGTGTTACTCTTCTCATGGGATACGGCCCCGTTCACAAAGGAAGGCTTCCTGAAGTGAGGCCAACTCAGAAGACTTAGAGACAAGAGACAGAGGCATGTGGAGGGAGATCTTCATGATCCTTTGACTTCCTGGGTCCACCCATGCCTGGAGCCATTTTCCTGAGCATGTGAATGAATGGCTTCCTCTCGTTGCTTAGATTATTTTGAGTTAAAGTTTTTGAAATATCTCTATTACTCCGTTGAGAATTTCATATGCCTTTTGATCATATTCACCCTACCACTCCTCTCCCAACTCCTTCCAGATCCACCCCACCTCCTGTTTGTGCTTTCAATTACCCACTAACTCCAATTTGCGCTGCCCATACACTCCTGAATGTGGGGTCATTCACTGGAGTGTGGTCATCCTACCAGAGCAACAGTCTTCAAGAAGTTGTATCATTTGTGAATACCCACAAGCAACTGTCCACTTGATATGTGACAGCTCCTCCTGTGGAATCCTCCACACTTAGCCAAAAACTATCTAAGACTCCTTTTACCTAGTTTTAGAGATAGTCTGATGGAGGACATCCTTCTGTATATATGCTTCTCTTATTGGTTGATAAATAAAACACTGATTGGCTAAAAGCCAGGCAGGAAGTATGTGCCATGTAGAGAACAGGAAGATAGGACGTGCCAAACATTCCCTGGTAAGATAAGACCATGTAGATACATAGATTAGTAGTTATGGGTTAATAATTAAGACAGAGCTAGACAATAAGAAGCCCTAGCCATCGGCCATCAGTTTTATAAATAATATAGCATCCCTGTGTTTATTTGGGGCTGAAGCAGCCGTGGGACCAGGCAGGAAAGAAACTCCAGCGACAACAGGCAATTTCACAGGTGGGGCAATGAATACTGTGTCACACCAAAGGTGTCCTCCTCTGGGATTTCACCTGTTTCCCTGAGTATGGGAAGTGCCACCATCAGACAGCACCTAGCTGCCAGCACTTTCAGAGCCTCAGCAGAAAGAGGCCACCTTAACTAAGGTCACATGCTGCTCCGGGGCTGCTCAACTCTAGTAACTAACTGATCAGAACCAGGGTCCAAAGGCTGGGAGACCTTTCACCCTAACTGGGAACAGCTCCAAAGGGTTGGGACATTTTCAGAACTCCCACACGTCAGCTGAGGCTGCCCCTGCACGTCCCAGCTTGACTTCTCTCTGCCCCACCTTGCTTCTGTCCCTTCCCTTCCACAAGCGCTGATCTAAGACTAGCTCTTAATTAATGCCCCACTCACTGAGCTGTCAGAATCCTTTCCAGGAACCTGGCTCGCACCAGGTGTAAGTCAGGAGGGCAGATCCGGGGATGAGCAAGGAGTTGAGCTGCCTGCTGCTGGTTGGCACTGAGAAGCCCTTCACGGATAGGCCCCGGCACTGGTGATGAGGAGACAGACCTGTGAGGGGGACTCATTAACTGGTGTGCTACCCTTGAATAGTGTGAGCTGAGGGGTGACTCTAAGGACCGTCCAACTGACTGGCTATTGTTGAACACGGCTGGTTTAGGAAATGACTTGAAAAACAAAAGCCAAGCATGATTAATGAGCAACAACAGACCAAACAGAGAAGCAGGAGCCCCCTGCTGACCCCATCATCTCAGAAGCACAAGGCATCACCGCCAACACCTGGAATGAAGATTTGGCAAATATTTCCTCTCCAGATCCCTCTAACCTTAGGAGCCTTCAGAAGTAGGGCCTCCCTCCCCTGCTGAAGGCTAACACCCCTGTCATGTCTCCTGCCGAATCTTCAGTTCTCCTCCTGCCCACCAGGCCGGTGCTGGGGTTCAAATATGGCTGATTTCTTCCAAGCATGGGTTGAATTGGATTTCCACTGTTGCGGTGTTAGGAGGTGGGCATCACCCTCTGGATGGATAGCTGCTGTCTCCCAGAAGAGACCGCTCATACTCATGGGACTGAATGTTTCCTCCAAAGCACATGGACAGAAGGCAAACACGATTCCTCCTTTCACCTCCCCTCTGCTTCCCCAAGACACAGTCACCTCATGGCAGGCTAAGGGCATGCTCTTGGACCTTCTAGCACCTAGAACTGTGGTGGAATACTTGTTTAAGATATGTTACATTCATTTATGTTGTGGGACGTTTGTTTGATGATGCAGAGATGTGTTGATTCTTTTATGCTGCATTTGCTTAACTCTGTGAAGCTGCGATTCTTTGCCTGTCTAAAACATCTGATTGGTCTAATAAAGAGCTGAGTGGCCAATAGCAAGACAGGAGAGAACAATGGGTGGGGCTATCAGGTAGAAAGAATAAATAGGAGGAGAAATCTAAGTTAGAGAAGCGGAGTGAAAGAGGAGAGGAAACCCAACCACAGAGTGACACAGTCAACTGCAGAGTAAGAAATAAAGGAAGTCATATAGAATAAAGAAAGGCAAAAAGCCTTTCTCTTCTAGAGAAATAGGATAATTTAAGTTAGAAAAGCTCGCTAGAAACAAGCCAACCTAAGGTGAGCCATTCATAAGTAAGAATAAATCTCTCCATATATTTATATTTGGGAGCTGGGTGATGGGATCCCAAACAGGAAAAAAAACATCTACATAGAATCATAACCCAAAATAAAACTCACGTCTTTATAAGTTCCAAGCTCGGGTAGAAACAGAAAATAGACTAAGCCAATGACAAGGAATAAATCACAATAAGTTATAGGCATATTGGTCATGACAGGAAAGAGGGGGGATGCATCTCCAAAGAGCTTCAAATGCAGGCAACACATGCCAGGAAGAATATGGGGCTGGATTTCAAGGATATGGCCCAGGAGATGTCAGAAATGTACTGTACAAGACCAGAACCCCTTGCTCCACACACACACCAGCAGCCAGCATTGCATACAGGATCCACACAGCATCCACTGCCCAAGGCTTTCCATCGAGCACACTTGGAAGTTCGGTGAGGGCTCTTCTCTTCAGGCCAGAGCTGGCAGCAGGCAATGCTGTTACGGAGCTGTCTCACAGCGGCAGGGCAGGAAGGAAGACCTGGAAGTACAGATGTCTGTCTTGATACATTCAGAAGTCTGTAATAAAATGCAGCCATCCCTCCATTTGCCAGCGTGGGAGGGTCCAGAACCCCCACGGACACTAATGTGAGCATGGCCGGGACTCACATACACAATGGCATGGGCCTGTGTGTGTAACCTACGCACCTCTCCCTGAGTACTGGAAATTGTTTCTAGATGGCATAACCCCTGGCATCATGAAATGATCTGCAACAATTATACTCTGTTATTAGGGGATAATGACAAGAAAAGTGTGCATGTTCAGTGCAGACAAAAACTTTCTATTTTCTATCCAAAACTTTTTCTATTTTCAATCCAAGACTGGTAAAACCCATGCATGTAGAACCCACAGATACGGAGGGCCAACGGTATGTAGTAATCTAGAGACTGTTGGGTGGGACCATGGGGCCAGGGCACCCCGATGAGCTGGGCCAAGGTGCAACTTCATTTTTCACTCCCTTAGCAGATCCACAACAGGGCTTTGAGTTGCCCATCCCTGGTTACCTGAGTCACTGTGGAGAAGGATGGGGGGACGGGGGTGGCTTGGATGGAATCCCCATCAACCAGATTTGATCTCAGTGTGAAGAATGGCACCCTCTTACCACCAAGCTGCTCGGCGGCAGTGTTACTGAGTGTCTCAGGACAGGAGAAGGGAGGGATTTGAGAAGCACAAAGAACCCCTCAGCAGTCCCAGGCTTTGGGATACTCCAGATCCAAGAATCCTAGAACCATAAAGAGCTCACTGTCCCTCCATTAGCCTCAGCTTCTCCAGCTCTAAAATGGCAGCAAAAAGACTTTTGCTTCTGGAAGAAGGTATTGCACACAGGAACCTGAGCAGACACGAGCGTTATTACTCAGGAGCCACGGTGCTAATTATCCTCACTGCGGATGCAACAGAAATTCACAGTGCGGCAACTGGCCTGCTGAAGGGGACAAGGATGGAACATCTCATTTTGACAAATGGCATTTGTTTACCCACGGCTGTCAAACGCTCCACGACGTGTGGCTAATCACCTAAAAATATCAGCACATATGCTCCCTCCGAGGAGTGTTCCTTGCTAACATCGGCCATGGATGCTGGGGGATAGCGTGAGAACAGTTTGTACCCTCCAAGACAAACATGAGGACCCTCTTCTTGCACCCCACAGCCCTGTGGGAGCTTTCCAGGGCTCTAATACCCACCTTCCTGCCCCCCACGTCCATGCTGCCACCCGTCCCCATCAGTACCACACACAAACATACACCCTCCCTTTTGTCTTTCTGTCCCCGAACCCCAGCCACCATCCTGGACCACCCCTCCTCACGTGGTACCAGGGCTGCTGCCAAAGCCAAGTCCCCGTGCAGTCCTTCAACCCCTCCCCCCTACAGAGGATCTTTATAACACATCTATCATGACAGTCCCCACCGCAGAAGCCCCGTGGCTCCCTGTTCTTTTTTTTTTTTTAAGATTTATTTATTTATTACATATACAGTGTTCTGTCTACATGCCAGAAGAGGGCACCAGATTGAATTGTAGATGGTTGTGAGCCAACATGTGGTTGCTGGGAATTGAACTCAGGACCTCTAGAAGAGCAGTCAGTGCTCTTAACCTCTGAGCCATCTCTCCAGCCCCCGGCTCCCTGTTCTTAAGTCTATGCCAATCTCACTTTCCAAAGCACGTTGGAAGAACCAACCATCCTCAGTGTCCCACAGCAGCTCAGTACGCCAGACTCTCAAAGTCTATGCATCTCCGTGGTGTCATCAGCCAGGTGCCCCTCTCTTGATGACATTTGTCCTGATGACCAACTCCAGCCAGGACCAGGACCAAGCAACCCTTAACAGTGACATGTCCAGGAGCTTCTCCTTGTGATCTTTCCCACTGCTCAAGTCAAGAGCCCTGGAGTGCTCCTTGAACCCCGCTTTTCTTCTCCCAATCCCCAACTGACCCGTTAACACCTGGGCTCAGCTCTGTCTCCAACATGCCCAGACTCTTCAGCGTTTCCTTAATGCTTCCCACCATTTCTCACCTCCAGTGTAAGAAACAGTTTCTGTCTCTGCCCAGTGATCTGTCCCTGACAGAGTTCCCAGAGGATGGCCATGAAGCTGCTCATCCCCACCCCCACCCCAGACCTTCCAGTGGCTTCCATCTCAGAGCAAAGCCGAAGTCTCAGAATTAGAAAGGAAATCAAAAGCAGGATGTCCGATTAAATGTGAACTCTGAAGAGACTATCTATGTTAAGAGAGATAAGCCAAACACAGAAAGACAAATATTATATAATATCGCATTTATATGAGGAATCTGAAAATGTCAAAAAGAAAAAAGCAGAGTAAAATCTTAGAATGTATCAGGGGCAAGCCCAGTGTGGTGGTGCATGCCTTTAATCCCAGCACACAGGAGGCAGAGGCAGGAGGATCTCAAGGCCAGCCTGGTCCACAGAGAAAGTTCCAGGACAGCCAGGGCTACAAAGAGTAACCCTGTCTTGAAAAGCCAAAACATTTTTTTAAACCAGGGCTAGGGTAGGTAGAAGGGTCTGAGGAGACGCTGGCCAACAATGGTGACTACAGTTACTAACAATATGTTGTATACTTCAAAATTGATGAGTCTATTTTGAAACACTCCCCCACAGAAGGATGATGGTGGATGGCATCCCTCGTGGACCACCAGAGCCTCTGGAGAGTAACGGGGGCTGGCTGGAGAGCCACTGCTCTTTGGGTTACAGGAAACAAAGGAAGGAAGGAAGGAAGGAAGGAAGGAAAGAAGGAAGGAAGGAAGGAAGGAAGGAAGGAAGGAAGGAAGGAAGGCAACTTTAGAATGCAATGCAGAATAAAAAGAGGCCAGAGGCCATCCCCAGGGCTCAGCTCTGCTCTCCCCAGGGGCTCAGCCTCAATCAGGAAGTCTCTGCTCCTAAAAGGGAGTGAGGGCAACAGTAGATACTGGAACCTCCTCTTAGGACAAAGATAGAACTCAGAAAAACCACGCTGTGCCTTTATTAACAGGAACAGAGACCACTCTGGGGCTTTTCTAATCACAAAATTGCACACTCTTCCATGTTCCTGCCATGAACCAGTCCCAAAGGCCTATGAGTCACATGGTCATGTTTGTCACAACAATAGTCCCAATCTCCTGTTAGTGCCATGTTCTCGTGACGAAATGCCTGATGGAAACGACTTAACGAAGGAAGGGTTAGTTTGGATGCACAATCCATCATGGCTATGGGAGCATGAGGTAACATGTAAACATCAATCCTAATAGTATATAGTGTGCCTATATACGAACAGCAAACTTGCTGAAAAAGAATTTAGCCAAAACCTCGTTCACAATAGCTTCAAAAATACCTAGGAATAGCTGAGCGGTGGTGGCACACACCTTTAACCCAAGCACTCAGGAGGCAGAGGCAGATGGATCTCTGTAAATACAAGGCCAGCCTGGTCTACAAAACTACACAGAGAAACCCTGTCTCAAAAAAACATAAAAAAAAACAAGGAATAAAAATAACCAAAGAGCCAGGTGTGGGGATGCATGCCTCTAATCGCAGCACTCAAGTGGATCGCTGTAGGTTTCAGGCCAACCTATTTTACCTAGTGAGTTCCAGAACAGCCAGAGCTGAATAATGAAACCCTGTATCAAACAAACAAAAAGAAGTAAAAGAAATCAACAGTAAAAAATTTAAATACTGAATAATGATGACACCAGACTATAGAAAGAACATCCATGCTCATGGGTGGCCAGGATTAATGTCAGGAAAATGGCTGTGTTACCTAAAGTGATCTAAAGAATAAATACAATCCCCATCAAAATTCCAGTGCCATTCTTCACAAAAGTAAAAAATACAGTCTAAAATCCATACAAGCAGCACAAAACATCCCAGATAGACAAAGCAATCCTGATTTAAAAAAAAGAACAATGCCATAAAAATCACCATGCCTGAAGTTACACCACAAATCCACAATAGCAAAAGCAGACGTGCAGATCACAGAATAGAGTGGTGCCCCCAGAATTAAACACACACAGCTACAGTCACCTGAGTTCTTCTTTAAAAAGACACAAAGACTGTGCTTTGAGGAAAAGACAGCATCTTTAGTAAGTGACTCTGCAACTGCTGGACACCAAGGGCAGAAGAATGAAGCCAGGTCTCTATCGTTATTTATAGAAACCAATTCAACACGGAACAAAGACATTAATCTAAGGCCGGAAACCCGGAGAACTGTTAGCGGGAAATGCAGGGGGAACACCTCAAGACGCAAGCATGGCAAGGACCTCCTGAAGAGGATGGCAGTAACCCAGGATGAGCTGAAAAATGGGATCGCATGAGATTAAAGGGCTTTACGCAGCAATGAAACAGTTAATGGCATTAAGAGACAGCCTAAGGGCGGATGCCTCAGGGGGCAAAGGGCTTGCTTCAGAAGCCTGGAAACCTGAGTCTGATACCTGGAATCCACATAAAGAGGGTAGAAGAAACCAACTCCACAGGTTGTTTCCCAGTCACCACCTGCATCCTGTGGCACACAGACCCATACACAGATCATGCGCAACACAATAAAAGAGAGAAGGAGATGCCTACAAAATGGGAGGGGAATGCCTTGCTAGCTATGTATCTGACAGATTATTAATATCTGGAATATAAAATAGACCTTTAAAAACCTAAATACCAAAAAGATAGCTCAATCAATAAATGAGCCAATGAAGTGAACAGACAGTTCTCCAAGCATGAAGTACAATTGCCGATGGAGCATATGGGACAAGCGTTCAGCATCCTTAGTCATCAGAGAAATGCAAATGAACACATTGTGAATACTCAGGAGTCAGAATGGCCATCATAGAAAAAGCAAATTACAGCAAATGCTGGTGAGGGCGCAGAGACAAAGGGAGCCCCACACACGGCCGGTGCAAATTTGGGATTCAGTGTGGAAGTTCCTCAAAGAACCGAAACAGAATTACTATGTGATCCAGCTGCACCATTGCGAGGAGCACATGGCAAAACAAAGCTTCCCTCCTGGAAA